TTAATCTTTGGTTATACTTCCCTTTTGGGTGTTTAAGGACATACAATTGGACCAGATAAACTGATTTGTTTTTACTCTTGAGGTTGTTAGAGGATTTGTTCCTCAGGAGTCCCATGGGGTTGGGAGGAGCCCCTGGCTCCTTTCTTTTACCAGCTTCTTTTTCTTTTTATCTGTTTGGAAGTTTGGAAGTGTTTGATCTCCCTTCTGTTTCAGTGAAAAACAGACTTCTGAAATCCAGATAACTGATGGTTGCTCTTAAGAGATTTTTATTAGAAAATAATAACCTAATTGACAATGGAGGGTAGAAAATTCAGCATAGTGTCTGCTTGTGAAAGAAGGCAGGTTTCTGGAGTCCAGTGAATCATTGGAAGCCTGCATATCAAAGCTCAGTTCAAACTTAGCATTTTGATGCAGTAAGTTCAATACCTCCTATGATGGTTTGAATGAGAATATCCCCCATAGGCCCCAAGTATTCAGACATTTTGTCCCAGTTGGTGGCGCTGTTTGGGGAGGTCTTAGCAGGTGTGGCCATGCTGGAGGAAACACGTCACTGGGGGCGGGCTTAGAGAGTTCTTAACCCTTGCTGGATCTCCAGTCAGTCTCTACTTCCTGTGCCTGCTGAAAGATATAAGAACTTAAGTTCTGCTCCTCCTCCAGCCACCTCTGCCACTATGTCTCCCCACCATGATGGACTCCTGTCCCTTTGGAACTGTAAACTAAATAAACTCTTCCTTTTATAAGTTCCCTTGGTCATAGTGTTTCTATCACAGCAACAGAAAAGTACTAAACACCTACATACCCTAAGGTGGGAAGAATGAACTGGAACAAGCTCTATGTGCTGAAGTTTCCATTAGCCAATGTGGTGACCCTCAGACACACTGGTTTCACTGGAGTTGTTTGAAGGCACCTGTGGTGAAAACCTTGTTTTGACATTAACTGCATGTCATCCTGTGTGTCCTGCCCACCTGCAATTAAATGAGCATGTACTATTGGCAATATAGCCAATTGTATCTCCCTGAAGAACACCGTCTCCAGGCAGTATTCCCAGAGCTCACATTGTTCCACCACCACCTCTGCTGATCATGGAAACAGAAGCACTTCTTCATCATGCTATGACTTTCCTTCTCATTCCAGCAGTTCCCCAGCATTTAGAGAAACTCTCCTCTTATCTCAGCCACTTCTGGGCATTTGTGAATGTCTTTCCTAACCCAGACCTTTCTATGGCTTCTGTATGTAGACATATTTAGTGACATATCTAAGATAACTAGGAGGGCCAAACGTTTTGATGCAGTAGGAAACAAGATAAAGGAGTGGGGGAGTGAGACACTAGATTCCATAGTGTGTCTGTGGGGCCTTTCATCTAAACTGCATTTCTCTAAACTGCAGCATGATCTGGGAAGCCTCTGATTCTTCCACCTTCTCACTTCAGGTGTATTTTTCTTGACTGCTAACTTTCAAGATCAAGAAAATTATTCTTTACTCCATGATTTTTGGATCAACTTACAGAAAATAGTACTTTATTATACCCATATAGCATTAAGTGGTCAAACATTTTTTAAAAGGTTTGTCTTAGAAGCAAATATACTTGTCATCTTTTGTTTGGAGAAGTATTTTCTACACTGTTAGTAAAGTATCTTTGAGAATTGGATTCCTGTTTCAGCAAAAGTGCTGTGAGAATGACTACATGATGGGCTGTGGATGGATGAAGATGAACAGAACCCACACTCCCTGGTCAGGGTTGGGAGAAGGAAATACTGGGCACTCACTGCTCAGGTGGCAGGATGGCTATGTGAACTTACAGGAGGGAAGGACCTGCTCCTAAGGACAGGCAGGATGTGGGGACGGGAGTCTGTCTGACCTAATGCCCCCCTGGAAGAACTAGAAGTTTGTATTTTGTCACTCTGTCTTAAGGTCGGACTAAATGCATTTGCATTGCATATGGTCATGAGCCTATGGGGGCCTGTGACACTGCAGGCATTTCCAAGTGGAAGTTCAGGTTCTGTAAGAAACAAGTCTATTCAAGTGGATAGAGATTGCAGACAGCAATCTATATAGCATAAAAAAGAAATGTGTAAGACAATTCTTAGTCTCATTCTTCTCTTATTTGAAGGTTACAGATTGAACAACCTGTAAACACTGCTCAAATTATAATGATTATTCAAAACGCCAACACTAATGTGGTGTGGTGACCCACACCTGTAATTGTAGCCCTTGAGAGACTGAGGCAGGAGGATGGCTACCAGGTCAAGGTCAACCAGGGCTATATAGTAATACTGTGTCTTAAAACCAACTAACCATACAAACAAAAGAAAACGAAACCCCCCCAAAAACATCGACACACATGATATTGATCATCGCAACCCCAGCTAAAATATATTGCAGAATTTAAAAGAACTATTAATTCCAGGAAGTTCTGGAACTCTTGTACTCTTATTGTATGAAATACCAGTGTAAGCACAGATGCACTGATATTGGCTTTGACTTTCTGCTCCCATCAGGCTCCTCAGTGGTTGGAAAGTGATTCCTGTCAGAAGTGTGAACAGCCCTTCTTCTGGAACATAAAGCAGATGTGGGACACGAAGACGCTGGGGTTGAGACAGGTAAGGAGCACTGGCTCGCCATCCTGTGAGGTGAGACAGGTAAGGAGCACTGGCTCGCCATCCTATGAGATGAGACAGGTAAGGACCCGCTGGCTTCCCATCCTGTGAGGTGAGACAGGTAAGGAGCTGCCGGAGCCATCCTGTGAGGATTTAATGTCTCATAACTTTTAGGATTAATTTGTTTTTTGTAAAAACTCAGGCTTTTTTCTTAGAAATGCTCTTAATTCCTATACATTTTTTACCTGTCATGTGACCAATAATGACCACAGCCTTTGCTGGGACCAGTGAGACGTCTTCCTGTCCTGCACTGGAAAAGCAGGGATACCTAGAGAATCCACAGCATCTGTTGTGAAGTTGCCAAAACCACCTGTGGTTTGGGACCATTACCTATTAAAGTCAGTGTTTCATGCCAGCCAGCCAAATATAAAATTAGAATAAATTGGAGAGTTCAGTTACATGCCTATGCTATCCTAAACAGATAAATAACAGTTCTCACCAGGGTGCTCTTTGATCCTGTGAATGTTAATTCTAATTTTCCAGTATAAATATACCTGGAACATTTTCATGAAGAATTTTTCAAACCTCTTTTAATTTTCTTAAATAAAAATATGCCCCCAATAGCTGATGGATTTCAAAGTCGTTCATAGCACTAGGTATCCATGTGATGCTGATGATTTGCAGCAAAGTGAATTCCTGCACATCTTGAAGGGGGAGCTGTTCCCCCAGGGTGAATATGAGTTCCGGCATGAAAGTGGGAGAGGATGGTGATTTTATTCCACCTAGAGTTTGTGAGCGGTAACAACATTTCTTTGCTTTCACTCAGAGCTGCACAGTAAGATCTCATGCCAGACTGGCAGCCAATGCTAGAATTCCCTTATTGTGCATAACATTCTAATGCTCTGAAAGAACACCTGAATTCTATCATTAGCCAAGTTCGTGTGATGTTTGTGTAGTGGTGAATAGTGCCTTATAATTGATGAAGTATTCCTAGAAGACATAGGGTGAGTTTACTCTCATTAACAGTTAATAGAAGAGAAAGGTGTTGGTCACTAAATGGTTAGTGGTTAAAGAATGTCACAATCAATCATAATAATTGGAGTGTTTTAGAATATTCTGGAGGCTTGAAAGGTCAGAAAGGCATTATACCCCTGTGTAGATATTTTAAATCTTACTCTAAAACTTTCCTTTGATGGAGGAATGGATTTTCCTTTTCAGAATCTATAGTGATTGGGTTCCTGAAAGAACTTGAACTTGGTTTGAATGCTGTGTTTGTGAACATGTAGACAGGCAGTATGGAAGAGGGAAGCACCGTTTGACCAGCAAGGCAAGGTTGTTTGGAGATCCTTGACTGTGTTAAAATGATCTGACTTGAGTGTCAGTTGATGCATTGAGTTGGGGTGGTTAGAACTGAAAGCATGTTCTCCCCGGCCCAGTTCCCCTATTTCTGCGTTAATGCAAAGCTAACTCCTATTTTCCTCCCCGTCACCCTGGAAGCATCACTGCAGGAAATGTGGGCAGGCCGTCTGTGGCAGGTGCAGCAGCAAGCGTTCCAGTTACCCAGTCATGGGCTTCGAGTTCCAGGTCCGAGTTTGTGACTCCTGTTATGACTCCATCAAAGAGGAGGAGTGAGTGCACTGATCCTGGTCTCTCTTACTGCATTCTGCCCCTCTGTCTGATGGGTCTCTATACATGGGCAGCCCAAGAAATGACCTAGATAGAGTTCTACCTGTGTGTTTGTGCTTTTAGAACTTCATAAACCACTTGTTTCTTTTAGTGTGTGTGTGTGTGTGTGTGTGTGTGTGTGTGGTGTTTATGAGTGTGGGTGCACGTGTGCTAGCTTTTAGAACTTCATAAACCACTTGTTTCTTTTAGTGTGTGTGTGTGTGTGGGGGGGGGTGTTTATGAGTGTGGGTGCATGTGTGCTGTGGTGTGAGTGTGGAAGCCCAAGGTCAGCTATCAGGAGTCAGTTCTCTGCTTCTACCATGTGGGTTCTGGGGATTGAATTTAAGTTCTCAGATTTGGTGGCCAGCACCTTTACCCATTGAGCCATCTTGCCCGATTCCTACATAAACCATTTTTGAAGAAAAAGTCTCATCCTAGTTTTATAACTTTTGGGCACTCCTGTTTGTCTTAAGCTCCCCAGTGTCTGGGACATATTTTTTCTGAGCACTGTAAGGGAGGCTAGGACCAGTCCAGCAGCTGACCAGCCCTTCCTGAGCCCCACATCCCATAGGGTTCTGTGCAGAGACATGTTCATGTGCATGTGGATGGCAGTGGCCGAGCTGGCTGACCTTGGTCCGCTCATGCATACAAACTTAGTTACTAGAAAAACTAAAGGTCTGTGCTTGCTCTTTGTCAAAAATCTGACCAGGCGCTCTGCTCTTAAATAACTGTGGTATCAGACATACCTGCTGCCTGCATCTTCCTGCCCTGACACACAATCAGCATTATATTTCCTTTCCCCTTGAACCATCATCTGCAGTAGCAGACTGGCAAAGCTCAGCAAAGGCCTCATTGAAGAGCCAGTGTCCGCAACCATGATGGTCTGTGATCTGCTGCTAGGAGTGAGACTGTTGGCTACAGGGGAGACTTAGTGCTGCTCTGAGGCTCTCGTGGCTTGCAGAGGCTCAGGGTGCAACTCTCTAATGAGTTTTGCTCATGCTTTCCTTCGTGTAATTCCTCCTCTGTGTTTATAGGCTCATTTTTATGTATATGTGCCAGTCTTTCCAATAAAAAGTTGTTTTTATTTTTGAGTGTCTTATTCTTGTCCCTGTTCGAGGTCCTGGCAATGGAACCAGGGCTTCGTAGACAGTAGGCAAGCCCTCTACCACTGAGCTAGCTCAGCCCTTAGAACCAGTAGGCAAGCCCTCTACCACTGAGCTAGCTCAGCCCTTAGAACCAGTAGGCAAGCCCTCTACCACTGAGCTAGCTCAGCCCTTATACCTTTAACCCCAGCACTTAGGAGGCGAAGGCACGTAGAGCTCTCTCTGAGATGGAGGCCAGCTTGGTCTACATAGTAAATCTTAGGCTAGCAGGGTGTGTGTGTGTGTTGTGCTGGGGATCCAACCCCGGGGCTTAGAACCAGTAGGCAAGCCTTCTACCACTGAGCTAGCTCAGCCCTTAGAGCCTGGTATACAGCCTTGTCACGTATCTCGCATTCTGTCCCCCTTTAATTATAAAGTTAGTTTTCAAAACTTCCACATTTTTAGAAGCTAATTTAACATCATTATTGTATTTATGTCACCTCTATTGTTTAAAAAATGTATCTCTTAGCTCTGGGTGCAGACAGGTGTATTTCAGCGATCTTTTCTCTTTGTCAGTCGGACGTCTCTAGCAACCTTTCACGAAGGAAAACACAACATTTCCCATATGTCCATGGACATTGCGAGGGGACTGATGGTGACCTGTGGGACCGATCGGGTCGTAAAGGTAAGCCTGATTGGCTCTTAGCATCTCAATTTAGAGCGTAGCTTGATCCATTCTCCCATTGTGAGTGGGCTTTAAGACCTACATTTCTGGTCCCATCGCCCTTTTGGCTTGCAAGCTTGCCTTGTTTTTTTGTCTATTATCAACTCACTGCTAGTTCCAAATCCCAAGTGATAGAGTAGCTGCTTGTGAGCTTCCACCTCAAGGGGCAGTGACTCTGGGTCCTGTTTCCCTTTGTCATGATGGCTTGTTGGAGTAGGGTGGTGAGGGACGTGCGCCTTAGAACTTCTGGTTGCTGAGCAGGACCCAAGGTCTAGTTTCCCATCTGGCCTGAGCCATCCCCAGCCCCTGTCTATAGTTTTTCCCTTCTTGGTTAATGCTCCTTTACATCCTGTCCTATTTGTAAGGAGCAATCACAAGTTTTTTTCATTAACTCTCTAGATCATGAACAGAAATTGAAAGTAAATGTCTTATACTTAGTACCCCTCTTGAGTTATGAAATTATGAGATATTTTATATACTCAGACATTATAGTAAAATAACTATTATGTTATTTTCAGGTTTTAAGATACGAAGGGTTTTAAGATTTTTCCAATGTAGTTAATGAACTACATTTTTTAATCTGTATATAAATGTTAAAGGAGGTTTTTGTAGCCAAAGAAGACAAGGAGAAAATTCACTATTTGACACTTCTTTAAGCCTAGCAGAAGTCAGTCAGCCAGTCAGTGTTGACTCTGGAAATTAGACTCTGTGATCAGTGAGCCTCCTTTCTCCCTGTATCTTCCTCGTAGATATGGGACATGACGCCTGTGGTGGGCTGCAGCCTGGCGACTGGATTTTCTCCACATTGACCTGGAATCTGGGTGATGTCTACACGTTATGCACAGCAACCTCCATCCAACCAAACCCCCTCTCTTGTAGCTCGACAGTCACTGTCGTGTAAATGGACAATAGCCACCTGAAAACAAATCAATATTTTTAAAAAGAAAAAATACGTGTTTTGGGGTATTTGTGGAACTTACCTATGGGGACTAACACGGAAAAGGTCTGTACATAGTGATCTCCAAAGGAATGGAATCCTCACGAACACTGAGCTAATGGGCGAGGAGGGAATCTATGAAAGTTTTAGAGAGGTACCTTTTTTTGAACAAAGTTAATACTTAGAACTTCTTAAAAGCAGCTCCAAGCTAGATGTGCTGGCACATGCCTTTAGTCCCAGCACTCAGGTGGCAGAGGCAGGCAGATCTCTGTGAGATCAAGGCCAGCCTGGTTTACCTGGTAAGGTACAGAATAACTGGGGCTTCAGGGAAACTTGTTTCAAACAAACAAAACAAAACGACAAAACAAAAAGCAACCCCAAGAGCAAACGTCCAGTGCACTCAGGGTAGTGAGAGGCCGCTTTGAGGGTCCCTGAGGGCACTCTGTTGTCCAAGCAGGAGTTGAGGGAAAGAGGACTTGTTCCTTCCCCAGGGGAGGTGTAGCCTCCCTGTGTGCTGGCCATGTGTGTAACCCAAGCCCCTCCCTGTGTGCTGGCCGTGTGTGAGTGCCCTCTGCACTGAGCTGTTGATACGCTTCTTCGAGGTCTCTGTTCTTTTCAGGATGTGCCGTAATCTGCTCTTGCGTTTGGGTGACTTCAGTCACTTCTCTCGCAGCCAGTGTGCCCTGGTGAACCTCTGCAGTTGTCATGGCACAAGACAGCCCATGTTCTTCCCTTTACCCAAATCTGCTCTTAGGACAAAGCTTTTTTATGGTGCTTTTGGCACAAGCCTCCTGACATTTTCTCTTTGTAGCTAGTCATGACTGATGGCATACCCAGCTACCAGCATGGTGGTGATGAATGCCATCAGCCTGGCCCATAGAATCCCCCACCTCAGCCTTTTTGGAGTCTCAAGATGAGCTCCTGTGGTAATTTAACTTATGCCCCTCAGGAAAAGTACTCCAAAGCTTTCAGATGATGCTGTTTTAGTTGTAACTCCTGTCACTCATGCTTCATAGGAGGAATTCAGTGGCCCTGGGCTGTAATCATCGGTCAGGTCTTGTACAGTCATCCCTTACTTGTGAATCACATTTGTGACACCTGGAAAGTTGTTGGGTATAATGCATTTTCAAGGTTTTTGACCACAGAGTACCAGGATGAGGAAGAGGGAAGATGGAGCTTTGAGTGTTCAAGTATTTATGTTTGTCTTGACAGTAGCACATTCCTTTAAGACTGTGGGAGTGAGTAGAGAAGGGCTTAGGAGGTTGACAAAGTTTGATGGGCAATTAAACTAAGATGTATCAGTGGCTGTGTGGCACAAATAACTAGAAAAGGCGAGGCAGCCGGGAGTAGTGGGCTCTAGATCTGCATTAAAAGCTGGCTTGTCTTCTGAAGTAGGACCGAAGGGTTTTGTTGCTTCTTTTCATTTTTATGTTACACCACTTGAAAAGGATGTTTCCTTTATAGATTTTCTTGGACTCTGCAAAATGTGAATTGCTAACTGGTTTGGAGGAGATGTGGAATGGTGCTCTGAAACCGCCGTATAGAATGTTGTCTTTGTATAGTCACGTTATAGTTTGTTGTTCTCCTCGTGGAAAGTGCTGTTCTGGAAATTTTATTGAGTCTAGAAATAAAATAGAATATGACCGGGTCCTTGCCCTGTGGAAGAGTGCTGAGCCCTGTGTGGTCTCGTTTTCCTTTGGCTTCTTTAAAATGTGACTTTGATTTCTGTGGTAGATTGAACTGAATTCTGTACAGCTTTCAAGTTTTTTTATTTTGAAAAACTCCTGACGCAAAACCCTGCGCTGCAGAGAGAGCACAAAGCTGGTCTGAGCCTTCTGAGGGTCAGTATAAGCTGAGGAAATTTATGTTTAAGGAAAAACTGGAGTGGGGGCCTTAGAAAAGAAAAGGAGATGGAAAGCAGTTTCTGCCTCATCTGGGCCCGCGATCGTTTCTTTTGAAACAATGTGCATGTCAGGCTCATCTTGTTTGTCACGTACTGGAGTGGGGGCCTTAGAAAAGAAAAGGAGATGGAAAGCAGTTTCTGCCCCGCGATCTGCCCCGCGATCGTTTCTTTTGAAACAATGTGCATGTCAGGCTCATCTTGTCTGTCACGTGTTAGTTAGCAAATGGGGTCATATTTTTTATAGAAGTGGGTGCAAATTACTTTCTCAAGTTTACTGACTAGGCGCGTGAGGAAGGACATCAAGGCTTATGGTTGTTGCCTTATTTCAACTGTATTTCTCTTAAACGGGTCACTTAGGCTAGTTCTTCAGGTAAGAGTTACTGTTCATTCCTGAATCCGCAAGCTAATGTACAAATAGGGATAAGAAGGACAGGCTGCTGGAGGAGATCCTTATATCAGACCCAGTGTGGACGTCATCAGCAAATGCCAGTTCTCGTTGTCAATAATGTGTTTTTAAATTGTGCTTAATTAGTGCCAGAATAGCAATATCCCTGTAGTGTTGGATATAAACACATTATTATTCTTCACTGTATTGTAAATCTGTTTCCTGTGTCTTAGCCCTGTCTTACTACCTACAGAATATCAACAAACACTATTGCTCTGGAATCAATTACGTTGTTCTCCCCCTTAGCAATTCTGTTTGTTAGCATTGATATTTATTACTGTCAAAATTGATCCAAATATGTAATAGCTATGATTCAGACCCAAGGAGATATTTTCTAAAGTCAATTTTTCATTAAAGTACTTTCTATTTATTTCCGTTACTGAATCTGATATCTCCTAAAGAGTAAGAAAACAGTTACTGTTAATGATGAACACTTTGCTCATTATAAATGGAAGGCATAACAAATAAGTAATACATGCTGATTTCTGTGTCCATTGCTTAATTGTTCATTGTGAGAGCATTATTGAATGCCTCATCTATTTTATGCAGTTTACCATACAATAACTCTTTGAGTAGGTTGAAGTTTAATTGTGCAGCACATTTCTACTAGAGAACAATTTAATGTGTTTTTCTCTTAGCCTTTTTGACTGGGGAAGCAAAAGGTGATACTTCTTAGTATACTTTGTTCTTGTACAGCTGTGTTCCTATGTGCATCCCAGAGAGGCTGGAAAACTTTGTTCTTTGTTTCTATTTGTGGGTTCTGTTTTTGTGGGGTTTTTGGAGAATATGCATATAATAAAATACTCCTTGCTTGTTATTATGCTGCTGGATTTAGTATTTGTTATACCTGACCTAGACCTAGAGCAGTTATGTGGCTACATTTACAGGTTTACAGTTACTTGGCATCCTGTATGCTAGGGGTATATTACCTACATTATCTTTTTTTTAATATTTTATTTATTATTTTTATTTTGTGTATGGGTATATTGCCTGCCACGGAAGTCAGAAGAGGGCTTTGGATTCCCCTGGAACTGGAGTTAAGGACGGTTCATAGCCGCCATGTGGGTGCTGGGAATTGAACCCTGGTCCTCTACAAGAGCAGTCAGTGCTCTTAAATGCTGAGCCATCTCTCCAGCAGCCCCACCTACGTTATCTTAATCCTAGCAACACTGCTGCAAGTATATCTTCCATTTGCATATTATGGATGAGAAAACAAAGAAGATTGTCTGTCTCTCTGCCCAGGTGTCTGACTTAAAAGCAGATGCCTTCATGTGCCCCACCCTACCATGCTAGCCTGCCATCATGTTGCAAGAAGGGAGAAGGTAGTGTGGTCTCTACTCAAGTTTGGGAAGTCTGTTTGGGTGAGTGAGTCTGTGTAGCTCTGGATAGCTCTGCACAGAGCTGTATAGAGAAGAGACATCGTGGTCCCAGCTCTGCCTCTGCACTGGCAGCTCAGACTTGAGAGCTTAGAGATCATGGTTCAGACCCAGGAGAGCTGAATTTCAGCTAATGCAATAAGAGATTGGCTTTTCTAATCGGGTTACTGTGTGTTTACGTAAACTAGATATGACATCCCTTCCTCTAAGCATCAAAATATTTTTTATAATTAAAACGTAAATGAACTGGGTATTGTGGTACATGCCTGTAATCACAGCACTTGGAAGGTGGAGGCAAGAGAATCAGAAATTCAAGGTTACCCTCAGCTACAAGGAAAACGTGAGGTCAGCCTAGGCTGTATAAGACTGTCTCAAAAAACCAAAAAATAAGATACTACCAAATGATAAGAAACAGGTGTTTTAGAACCCTCTAATATACCACTCATAGAAAGCACCATTAAACCAATGTTTTTTAAGTCTATATCTGACACACACTTCACACTTATAGCTTATTTTTTATGGAAATATACTTTTTTTTCTGCTTGATATATTGTGGATGGTTTGTCCATATAAAACATAATCTCCAAGTTACCACTTCTAGTTGCTCTTGTTTGCTGTACACTTAAAGTATGTGGGGCTGGAGAGATGGCTCAGTGGTTAAGAACACTGGTGGTTCTTGCAGAAGACCCAGGTTCAAATCTCAGCACCTATATGGCAGCTAACAGCTGTCCATAACTCCAGTCCCAGGGGATCCGACAGCCTCTTCTGACCTCCGGGGACATTGCACAACATGGATGCACTTACCTACATGCAGGCAATACACGCATACACACAAAATTAAAAAAATAAAATGTTTAAAAAAAGTTTTAAAGTATGCACCTTCTGGACTCTTACTGGATCCATGTATATAGCCCTGTGAGGTTGGGTTGGGCCTTGAGAGGCAAACTTTTCTTTGTGGGTGAGGTGCCCCCTGTCATGACCATTTCTTCCCTGTTGTCATGAAAACATGGGGAGAAAGGAATGTGGCACTGTTAGTAAATCTCTAACCCCTAATAACCTCTCCAGTGCCCAGATCCCAGGAGATTAGGACTAAGGGAAACTGAGAAGATGGTGGGCCCAGACCACGGAGACAGAAACTGCTTGGTGAGAGATGGCTGTTTCAAGATATACTTTGATGGTACAGCCAGTAGACTTTGTGCTGAGGTTTGTGTCTGTAAGCTTGTCTATTTTTTTAAATTTCAGTTAGCATATAAAATATAGGTTTTGTCATAACATAGTCATACATAAATATCACCGCACTGTGCTTATAATTTACTTCCCTAGCCCATATTCTCAGAACACATTTATGACTTGGAATTCATTTGTTACCTGGAGAAAAAGTTATTGGATGTTTTATCTGATCCTCAAATACAAAAAAAAAAAAAAATGAAAGTACAGAAATAATTTACTACTAAGCCCTCAACACCTGAGGTATGGCCTGTAATCCTAGCACTTAGGAGCTGGAAGCAAGAGGATCAAAAGTTAAAGGTTAGTTGGGCATGGTGGTGCATGCCTTTAATTCTAGCACTTAGGAGGTAGAGGCAGGTGAACCTCTGTGAAATCAAGACCAGCCTGGTCTACATAGCAAGTTCCAGGCCAGCTGGGGCTACAGGGAGACCCTGTAACAACAACAACAAAAACTAAAGGTCATCCTTGGCTACATAGAGAATTTGAGGACAGCCTGGGCTACATGAGACCCTGTCTCAAAATAAAAGCATTCAAACAACAATAAAAATAAACTTTTATTTCACTAGCTATATATTGAGTTAAATTATACAAGATCAGTATTCCTTATCCTAAAGTTGTGGGACCAGAGTGGTCCAAATTTTGGGGGTTTTGACTTTGGGAAAATTTGCATAGACTTTTACCAGTTGAATCACTTCTTGGCATAGACCTTACCAGTTGAGCATCCCTAATTCTGAGATCTGAAGTGCGCCCAAATCAGTAACTTTGTGTGTGCCTGTGTGATGCTTTGGATCATTTCAGGCCTTGGAACAGGCCTTGGGGGAGTGGGAATGGTGCCTGTCCCCTAATGAGTCTCCCTGTTCCTGCTCCTGCTCCTGTCAGCATCTCAACACAGCCAGTACAAATGAGTCAAATCATGATATTCCTTTACTAAACCCCTCACAACTTTTGTCCCACTCATAGTAAGAAATTCAAGTTCTAAAATGGCCCCTCATTGTCCTCACCCCATGACTATTATGGTCTTTTATTCTTATCTAGCTGCCCCTTGTCCTTTCATCTTTGCTGAAGCTTAACATTTTTATATTTATTTATTTTATATTTATTTATTTAGTACTGAGTAGCATGTGAGTATCAGGGCACATATGTGGAGGTTAGAGGACATCTTACAGGAGTTGGTTCTTTCTTCTGTCCTGTGGTCCTTTTCCACAGGACCTGAGTTCAGTTCCCACATTGGGTGGCTCACGACCTCCTGTAACTCCAATTCTGACACCCTCTTCTGGCCTCATGGGTATGTGCATACATGTGGTAGACACACAAGCACATAACACATAAATTACAAAAAAAAATCTTTTAAAAAATGCCATGGGGTTCACCTGACTCTCTGGGGGAAGTCAGTGCCTGGGACCACCGCGTGTCGGCTCAACAGCTGAAATGAATTCCAGCTAACTGCTAGCACCAGCCTTGTGAGTGTCCCATCGTGAACATCCAGCCCAGCTGAGCTTTCAGGTAGCTGCAGAAGCAGCCGACAATATCTGCAACACTGTGAGACTCCAGAAAGACGGACTGCCTGGGTGACGTCATCTCAGATTCCTGACCCACAGAATTGTGAACAAAATAAAATGGTCTTTTAAGGTCAGAGTGGTGGTGGAGTGCTTTGTTGTACAGCAGTATTATCCTAAACATGGGGCCCTCAGTCTCTG